GTAGAGTCTTACTTCATACATTTTTAGAGTTTGCCTTCGTATCTTCTTGCTCAATTGTGTAAGTGGTTTATCTGAAAAATCTACAAACAAACCGAGTTTTGCGTCTCTATGCCTTTTCTGTTCTGTTTTGAAGCCAATGCTACACTTTATTTAATATTCGAACACAGGTATAACTACTGTGAATATAAAGGATCCCGCAATTATCCTTACGGAAAACCGGTCCCTGTCGAATGGTACGAAACTTTGCCTCAATGTGCTCGATGACCATCAAGTCAAGTTTTCTGAAGGTGCTTCAGCTATTTTCTGAAGACTGAGGAATGCTGCAGATATGCCGATGATAGATAAGTGTTCAGCATGCGTAAAAACATAAGATATCGCTCAAGCAGTACGTGTCGCTATCGCTGTTCTTCAGTAGGTGCTCCACCGATTTTCTGAAAACTGAAGGATGATACAGCTATATACAGGGTGTTTCATAATATATGCGCAGGACTTCAGGATGTGATAGCTCGTCCAAAAATTTGAAAAAAAGCTTGTATTAACTTACCCTCTAAAATGCACAATTTTCGAGATACAGGGTGTTGAAATTGTAAAAAAAATTTCGTTTTTTGCAAATATCTCCGGAACCGTTTATCGTACAGAAAACAGCTTTTGTAAGCGTTTACTACTCATAATAAGCTATGTTCTGCGNTCGCATCCGAGTAGAGTCTTACTTCATACATTTTTAGAGTTTGCCTTCGTATCTTCTTGCTCAATTGTGTAAGTGGTTTATCTGAAAAATCTACAAACAAACCGAGTTTTGCGTCTCTATGCCTTTTCTGTTCTGTTTTCAAGCCAATGCTACACTTTATTTAATATTCGAACACAGGTATAACTACTGTGAATATAAAGGATCCCGCAATTATCCTTACGGAAAACCGGTCCCTGTCGAATGGTACGAAACTTTGCCTCAATGTGCTCGATGACCATCAAGTCAAGTTTTCTGAAGGTGCTTCAGCTATTTTCTGAAGACTGAGGAATGCTGCAGATATGCCGATGACGGATAAGTGTTCAGCATGCGTAAAAACATAAGATATCGCTCAAGCAGTACGTGTCGCTATCGCTGTTCTTCAGTAGGTGCTCTACCGATTTTCTGAAGACTGAAGGATGATACAGCTATATTGACCACGGATTCGCATTCAACACACGAAAATACATCAAGAAACATCTAGCTTGGTCACTTTATAATGAATTATTTGCTTTTACTCGCCCGTAAATTGGACTTGATGGTCATAGAGCGCGTGGATTCGATAACTTCAGAAGGCTTTGGCTTCAGAACAGTAGTTTTTCAGATCTAGGTGCCATGGACTTTTTTGATCGACACATTGAAGTTTCATACCATTCGACCGGGACCGATTTTCCATAAGGATAGTTGCGGGGTCCTTTACAATTGGAAATTAAATTAATTAGATGATTCAAGGTGACCATTGAATCAAATCCGTATAATCAGAATTCCATTGCTATATTTATATCCACTTCCGCCCACATTTTCTTATTCCTTGCTAATAGGATAATGTTTTTGCTCATTTCATGTTTTTCCTGTATGTTTAAATATTTCTTCTATTACTCTGTCCCAAGTTTGTCTCGGACTTCCTTTTGCGTTCTTCTTCTTTAATTTTTGCCTCCCATATCTGTTCAGGTCTTATATCCTCCATTCTCCGCAGAAGACACCATTAATTTATCTACCTTCTTTCAATAAATTTTTATGTGGCTTCTATATTGAACTGTTATCTTATTTCAGTCTATCTTAATCTCTGTTAGTTCTATGATACTGCATTTCTGCTGCCTATATTCTATTCTGTATCTAAACATTTATTTTAAACTCACATTGGAAATGTGAATACTCATGATAGTTATGTAAATTAGTAATAACTCTGAGGGAGAAACAAACTTCAATTATTTTCTATTTTCTATTGAAAATTAATGCCTTGATGTACAATAAACTAAGAGAAATTCACTCGGCATCAATTCTTGCACTTTTTGGATATGATATGGGTGTAGTAGATTACGTCTGAACATTCGGTGCATAGAAGTTTGGGATATACCAGTTTTTCGAGACAGAATTCTAGTACCTACTAATATGTGGGTCGTCTTCAATTGTATTCAAAATAAGCTCTTCGTCTTGTAGCCTGATTTAAATATAATGTTCTCGTGTGTTACTGAAAAACTTGCCTGATTCTCGAGCCTGTCTTTCATTGGACATTGAACATTGGAAAATGTTTCTCTATGGGGGATTACACGAATTGGAAATCTTCTCCAATATACTTCAACACTTCTTCCGTAGTATCCTTCACAGAAACTTAACACTAATAGCATGTCAACTTGCTCGCTAAATGAAAACTTCTCGGCAATTTTCAAAATACTCAGCAAACAATTACTAAAATTAAATGACTTTTTTCCTGATCGTCAAGTTTGTCGTTTAAATTCATAGCCAACTTTTGAACTTTCGATGAGTTTAAATAACAGTTACAAAATACGTATTATTTATTCGTCTTTTTGATGAGAACCACAATGTTTTTGAAAACTAACAAGGGTAAGAAATGTTTTAGAATTAAATTACTCATAAAATAAAGTTATAATTTTTTAAGTCCGCCAATAGGTTAAAAAATTCTGTTACATTTTAATGGTGCATCATCCCTTATCAACCCTTTAAAATGCTTCAATTGAACGCTACTTACTGTCACTTAATGCTCTTGAGTAAAATTGGGTACAAGATGTGAGTGTACCACATCTTGTACCCATTTTTTTTTTTTTCTAATTTATAACTGAAATACTTATTGATTTTTGTTCGAAATTTGAAATCCCACTTCCAAGGCTATAACTTCTCAGGGGTGCAGCTTAAGTTAAGGGCTCTCAAATATAGGTTTAGCGTCGTCCTTCAGAGAAATTTAGCAATATTTTTTAACAAGTTCACTTAGACTGTCGGGGTCACGTGTTGAGCATCTGGTATAAACAGGAAAATCGATATTTCTAATAGCGCGAAATGCATTTCAAAGAACGTAGGAATTCCAAGAATAAGTTGTTAGAATGTTGTCAGGAAAATAATAATAGGTCAAATAGCCGGTTTTTAGGCGGATTTTCCAAGCTATAAGAATAGATTAAATGAGATGGACTAATCCGTCCCGTATTGCTATGCGGAGTCACAAGAGGAAGGTATAGGGTTGTTTGTAAGTTTAGTCTCAAAATTATTTAGACAAATGTAAATTCAGTCCATTAGACAATTATTAACATGGCATAGTTATGCCAAAGCGTCCCGATATTCAGGGTTCCGGTCAGTAACATAAGAACAGAAACTTCTGGACCCAAGAAATGGGTGTGTCGAAGCGAAGTGTCGAATTCAGGAGAGATCTACGAAAAAAGGCAGTTCTTTCTTGGGTTTCACATTGAGCAGTCTACTTAGTTTTAGAGTTTCGGGTTAATTTAATAATGGATAAAGTCATTCCAAATTTTGCTATGGATCGCGCATTCCCTGAATCTCGGTACGCTCGGTCGCGTGTCAATTAATTAATTAATAATGTTGTTTGAGCCCGTTGTGTCGTTATTTTGTTTGTTTATTCTGTTTTTATTGTTATTAAAACCGTTCCTGGAAGTTTTGGTGTTTCTTTCTTGTTCTTCCAACTTAAGTGTCACCCTATACAACCAACTACTTGATTGCCTTTTACATGAGCGACATACGGTAAGTGTCTGGTATTCATTCTCTGAACGTACAACATTTCTAAGTTCCCACGTATTAATTAAAGTATAATGATAATTATAAACTCCCTTTCGAGAATTGAACAGTAAACTCTTTTGAAATCCAGACTCGTTATGATACTGGTCATAACGATATATACAGAGTGACCCATTAAGAATGGAAACACTCGCGTACAAAAGTTGTTTATGGACCGATTTGAACCGTTTTTTTTTTAAAGGTAGATCTCCAAAAGCTCTATCTTCATGCAAAATTTGAAGACGGAATTTTGATTTTCAAGGCCTACTACGAATTTTTTTTTTAAGTGAAAAATAGCAAAATTTTGTTAGCGATTTTGTTATAAAAAATCTGACAACACCGCTGAATTTAGGAACCCCTCAAATGCATTTGTACCAATTTTTGCGAAAAAAAGTTATGACAATATCGGCATCACCAGTGTTTGCCGTTGTCGGTGAACCTATTCTTTTATAATAGGTCATAACTTTTTTAGGGGCAAACTTTTTTTCGCAAAAATTGGTACAAATGCATTTGAGGGGTTCCTAAATCCAGTGGTGTAGTCAGACTTTTTTATAAAAAAATCGCTAACAAAATTTTGCTACTTTTCACTTAAAAAAAAATCGTAGTAGGCCTTGAAAATCAAAATTTAGTCTTCAAATTTTGCATCAAGATAGAGCTTTTGAAGATCTATCTTTAAAAAAAAACCGGTTCAAATCGGTCCATAAACAACTTTTGTACGCGAGTGTTTCCATTCTTAATGGGTCACCCTGTAGATAAATAAGAAATAATCCCTCAGGTTACACACTGAAACGCATAAAACTAGGTTATCATTCTATATTTTTGGGTAGATCAAAATGTGGATAAAGACCCATCAATATAAAATCATTTTTATGTCCTATTTCCTTCAGTGATTTTGAATCAGTTGCTGAATATATTAATTATAACACTTACTATTAGCTATATCATTAAGGTAATCTTATTTATAGCAAATTGGCGTGCAATCGTATTTTAATTAAACATTTGTTTGTTCGAGTTATGCTGATATAAAGCAATTAATTATAGTTAATACTGATTTAAAGGAACGGCGATCAAATACAGGGCCGTCATTGAAGAAACAATTTTAGTTGTTCTCCATGTACGTCTACCCGGTACGTCTAATACAACAATAACAGGAATCCGATCAAGATCGTAATCAACTGAATCCTAAATCCGCTGACCGACCAGCGAGGCCAATAGGCCAAACGCCGTAGAACTTTTACTTGTATCGAACACATAGTGCCCGGTGGCGATGAGGTGCTTACGAAGATGACTTCTAGAAGGAGCCGAAGGTATTATGCAATTAATCAGGCGTACTATCTCGACGGTGGAAGAAGTCCTTGAGTATAGTGGATATGGATGGTGGGTTGACACGAGATACGTCTTCATTTTACCATTTTAGTGTCAGAGGTCCCCAGAATCCGCCACCATGATATCGCTGCAGGTGCTTGCAGTCGCCGCCGCCTTGATTATACAAGGTAAGTGGTTTTTATTTATGTTATAATTATCGGTTAACACGGTATTATTCCAGTCTGACTATTTTCATTAATGAACCATTAACAAGCCGTAAGATTTTTTTTTTGTTAGAAAATGATTAGAAACATAGGTAAATAATTTTTAATTTGTGTTTTCAATAATCTAATGCACATTTAATTATAAACTGTTTTTGCACTACGACGCAAATGTAGAATTTTATGTAAAAATTTATCTCCAAATGACGTAAAATATTTCGTATACGTACCTACTCTTGGCTTTTTAATTTTTTTATGTTTTGACAAGAACATGTTAAAAAATATCAGCACGTACACTTGAGATTGAACTATATGAATTAAAATATATTTATATACCTACTTTAAAAATTGTTATTGTTTTCAATTTAAAATTTTTGATTCTTAAAAGTATTTTACTAAAACTAATGCTACCTAAAATAGTTCTATTCTTTTATATTACATATGCTTTTTTACATCTTTTGAAAGTCGACAATCACGGTTATATGAAAATACACATTTAATTACTGAAAGTGAAAACATTTAAACTTGCATGCAACGCGTATTTTGCATGTACGTAAACAGGTCTGTTCCAAATTAATAAACTGGCCATAAAAATTGAAGGGTAAAATAAAATCCTTTTATAGCTGATTTTCAAAAGGCTGTAACTTGAGGAAAATATTTTTTCTGTTTTTTCTATAGTTACCAATTTTTTTATCAAAAAAATAAGGATTTTCGCAAAAAAAATAAAAAGCCATTTTTGCTTTGACCAACAGCGACATTAAATCATCATACATAGTTCTTGAGCAGCTCAATTTAAAGAAGATTGGTAAAAAAAAGTCCGAGGAAATTTTGAAAGAGAAGTAAAAATTTTGAATTTTTTTCCGCTGGTCAACGATAACAATTTTTTACTTTTAGGTCTTGAAACTAGAAACTTCAAGCTTTAATTTGCTTTATTTTTATTGCTCTACACCATTTTGTCACGTTACAGCCTTTTGAAAATTACCGAAAAGTATTGTTTTTTTTAACTTAACTTTTTCAACTAGTGTATTAAATATCCACAAATTGCTAATAATTTAAACTGGATACGCGCACTAACTATCAGTTGGTGCCCTTAACGCTAAACTCAATTTGCAAGTATCATTAAGTATAACTTTACATATATTTTACTAACATCCTTTGAACTCTCGCGAGCTAACGACGAATTCAATGCCAATGAGGGAATAAGTAATGGTAATGATGTCACATTATTTAAATGTTTGTGCTTCTGTTTACCTTAGTAATATAATATAGTTAATGATAATTACTTGAACCGCTACTTTGTTAAATGAGATTATGTAGGAATATACAGGGTGGTTCGAATTGCACACGCTGAACTTTATCTGGTAATAGAACACCTCAAAATAAAAAAAAAAGATTCGTTTATTGATAGGCAGCAGAACGCTTATTTTCAAGATACAGAAATTCAAATAAAAAAAACACATTTATTAAATATTAAATTATCATTATTATTATTAAAATTATCTTAAAAACGTTTCACTTACATTGAAAAAGCTTGAGATAACGGTTTAACTAATTATAAGTACAAAATCTGTCACAAAGTGTCGACAAAATTAGACATTTTTAGGTAATATATACTTTTTAATTTAAAATAAACCCCCGACATCGAAAATAACTACAAAACTGATCGATTCAGAAAAATATTTTATAGAAATTATGTGCTAAAAATTATATTTTACATAGATTGTCATTATAAAAAGTTACTCTGAGGGATAATAATCCCCCAAATTAATAATAAAATTACTATGCTAATAATTTTTGTGTTTGATATTGTATCTCTTTATCGACGAACAACAACCTATGTTCATAAAAAATATTTTTTCTTATTTTAAAGTATTCCATCACCAGGTTAAGTCCGGTGTGTGCATTTTGGGATACCCTGTATAAGTTGAAATAAGAAAATTTATTTCTATAAAAATTGCTTCGTTTTCCAGGAACAAGGTCCCCGTTTCCTTATAAAAATGATTCTTTGAACGGTCTAAATACAAAATTATACATTTTTTCTGTCGAAATACTATGAAATTACGGTACATTCTTGAATATTCATGATGCATTTGAATCTGACATTAATTATGGTTTTGAAAATAAATAAAATATACAAGGAAGACACTTGTGGAGAACTTCGCATATTTTCCCAAAAAATATACAAAAATCAAGAAATATTGAGCAGGAAAATCCATATTTCGATATCTTGATTGATTTAAGTGTAACAAAGCGTTTTGCATAAGTAGCTTTTTATGATGTTGACTTATGAAAATGTGATTTCTCTTAAGAACTATTTTCTACAGTTTTTGGTATAGAATCCAGACGCCTACGCAATATTTTCCTGCTTTTTCAGTTACAAATAAAAACAAACATTTAAACCAATAAAATTCCATGTCTTACTAGTTGGGTATGTATAATAATATATTATTATAAGTTTTCTTGTTGATGTATTCATTTAATTTTGCATTTATTGCTGTCCATCTGTGTGATACAAGCCGTTTTATAATTCATATTAGGTAATAGAAGGTATATTCCGATCTTTCTATTTTAAATAATTGTCTAATCCAATTACTAAAATTATTTATATCTACTCCTGTGCTATGTCTGTGTGTAGATTAATTAATAATCTATTCGATTTGGATTAATGTGTCCATTTGTCATTATTATTTATTTATTTGGTTGTTTTTGTTTAAAAAAATGGATATCATAAACTTTAAACTGAAATATTTTAAAATCCGCAAAAAGTAGGTACATGAACCGCTATATCATTAGAAAGGTGATCTAATTCTACGTCATTTGAAGTAAAAATATACAGGGTGTCCTATTTAAAAAAATTCAAGTTTAAGCAAATGAATTTCCTTAACTTTGAACGCTACAAAGTAACCCTATAAATTGGAGACATGTTCTAACCTCATTATAACATTCTTCAACATGTCACCCGCCTCGGACCCAAATTGCATTTCCTATCGGAAAAACTGGGGTAGCAATGTATTTCCCAAAAAGATAATGCTTTCCTAAATTGGTTATAAAAAAATTAAATAACTTTGCAGTGGTTACTCGGATTTTGAAAAACAAAATATGGATGAATAGATAATTTAATGTGTAAACAGAAATTTAAATAATATACAGTGTTCCATTTAAAAAAATTAAATCTTGTATAGCCACGTGGAAATGCAACGCCCTATATGATTATAAATAATTTTGAAAGATAACGCTGTTGTTGTATTATAATTTTCATTTAAACTTTTTTTTCTATCTATAAGGGTTTAAGATATTCAGAGCTTTATCGATTGGTTGGGACACCCTATATAATAAAAGCAATTTTTTGTAATTCATCATTCCTTGATAGTGATAGTGATAGTGTGGCGTGCATTTATCATCCGTAGGTCACATAAATCCATGGCATAATTAATTGAATTAAGAAACAGTTGAAGTAGAATAAAAATTACCATTTTACCACGCATATTAAAAAAATACACAGATTTAAAAATTGTCGATGATAATTGAGAAACCAAGACAAGAGTGAAAAACTATTCGAGATATCAAGATGCGCGGTTGTCGGGATTTAATTTTTTTCGAAAATCGAGCTCGAAATATGACAATTAGGTACTGTTTGTTTCCCTCCTCGAGAATTAAGAGAAATGCCTTAAAAGTTCTGAAATTGGACCGTCCTCGCTGCTTTTTGAAAATAAACAAATATAAAAAATGTTAAAAATTCTTTAAATAGTAACTTTTCTATCAGAATGAATCGAAAAGTCTGAGACTCCGATGCTAGTTTTGAGTCATCGGAGGGGAATGTGAAAAATCTGATAAAAATTCAGCCGATTACGCCACAGCCAACTCGTACCCCGACGGAATTAAACATGTAAGAGGATTCAGCAGTACATCATATGAGTTCAAATATGAATTCTAATGGTACAATGAAAAGCAAGATAAAACGTCAATTTGCAATTGTAAACGTCGTCTTCCGTTAAAATCATTACCCGCATACTCACGGAGCTGTTAATGCCTATTAGGATTTTCAACACACGCCACGTACAGCCTTGTGAGAAAATTAATTCGCATTTATTAAAGAAATGGTCATACGTACTTAGAAAACCCACCACTGAAACAGGTCTATGTGTAATCCTAATAATAGACCATAAACACCCAAACCGCAAACTTACGGAAGTCGAGAATGTTTTTGACATCATGTCACTTTTGTCTTCAGTAGTACACAGTATACAGGGTGTTTCCGTTTTAATGAACAGGACTCCAGTTATGTATAGAGTCATTTTAAGCAAAATAAGTAGGTATTCTAAATGAACAATAATGAACATACTCGTTGAAGTTCTTCGACTTCAAGTAAAACTGAAGTTAATTGAGAATATCAACGGATGCGGCAATTATTATTATTTTTGTCCAGATAAAATGTTTCATTTACAAATTTAAATTTTTAATGTTACCTTAAGTTCGCGTTAATAATTTATAACACTGGCCTTATTCATTATTGTAGTGTATAGGTTGGGCCAAACTCGGCTGTTTAATCCTCGTTTCGCATCGAGTTTCTCTTTCAGACATTTTATTTTCCTCCAAAAGGGGACCCATAAACCTACTCTAACTTCAGTGTCGTCTATTGCAGCAGATAGTTTTTCTTCTTTATATCTGAGGATTCTAAAAATGGTGGAATATTGCCAATGGTGAATTTATTACATGAATATTGGCAAGTTTGCGAAAAAGCAATTCAACAAGTCTTTCTTTCACGCAAAAAATTATTCTTTCTTTCGGTTCTTATACAGGGTCTGAAAGTCCCCATGGTTCATCGGCCGTTACGTGAGAGCGATAAAGTAAGTCATAGAAGTCCGTGCGATAGAGAAAGATGGCTATAATGAAGGCGTCTAATAGTCACCGCCAATTTCGCCCTTCCACAAATAAGATCCACTTCTTACACACTCATTATTGGCGCG